TGTTGTTTTGCTCAGTTAACATTTCTATTTTTAAATCTTTTTGAATAATTAATTTAACTAATTGATCAAAATTTTTTTTATCCATTAAAACTATATTATTATTATTATTTATATTAATTTTAATATCTGTAAATTGTTGATTAATTTCAATTGAATTATTTTTAATTAATTCATCTTTTTGAGCTTTAATTAATTCTATTAGATTTAAATTTGTAGAAGTTGTAAATTCATTAGTTGTAATTAAATTACTTAAATTTGTTGAAATATCTGATTCACTAGTTTCAGCTAAATTATTAATTTCTATTAAATCTGTTTCTATTGAATTATCCACTTCAATATTTCTAGTTATTGTAGATATTTGACATTGATAAGAATCTACAATTTTCATATAACACTCATGGCATAATTTATCAACTCCAGCTTTAAGACTTTTATAATATCTTTTATCAGGACAATTATCAATTTTAAATCTAAGATTCTCAGTAACACTTCTAGAAAAAGTAATAATTTTTAAGCAAAATGAACAATTTCGTTAAATAATTTCTTCAGACATTTTTAAAAAAATATTATAATTAAGAAGTTTGTAAATATAGTGAAATTTTTTTATAAAATTATAAATTTCTGTATTTATATATTTATTTTAAATTTATTATAAAATAAAATCTATTTTTATAGTAATTCATTGTACAATAAATTTCATTGTATAATAAATAAATTATTATATAATAAATTTTTATTGTATAATGAAACAATTTTACAATTTTGTAACTATATAAATTAGATAAACATTCAATAGAATAGTTATTCTGGCACTCAAGTCATGGCAGCTAAGAAAAAAAAAATATTTAAATCATTATTGTTTTATATACTAAAACAATATAATTTTCTTTGCAAAATAATACATAATTTGCATCTACAACTCTGCTAAGAATAGATATTGATAAACTCTTTGTTTCAATAAGAAAATAAAGCTAAGATTGCTCTCAAGTGTCAATCTCATGTGATTTGCAAGTGATTGTAATAGTGCTTAATTAAGCATTATTATAAATGAATATAACTAGTTTTAACCAGTGGTGATTTATAATAAAATTTAACTATAAGTTACACTATTAAAATTTTAACCAGTGGTAATTTATAATAAAATTTAACCATAGGTTAAACTATTAAAATTTTAACTCATATTTTATGGATCAACATTAACTAATTATGACATAATTTATAACTTTTTATTATTCTGCTTTCATGATCTTTATTTGATCGCTCTTTTTTCCTCTTACACTGTTTATTTCTTTGAATCATACATTTGCGACTCTATATTGTATTCATAGCTTTACATTGCACCTACAGCTTTACATTGCACCTATGGCTTTATATTGCATCCACGACCCATATTGCACCCACGGTTTTATATTGCATCTATGGCTCCATATTGTACTCACAGTTTTTTATTGCATCCACGTCTCTACCTACGTACAACTTTTCCTTGGATATTGTATTCACATCTACTTTACGATCTTTCTTCAGATTCTGCATCGACGTTTATTACAAACATCTCTCTCTACCTTACTTGGATTGCATCTGGTTGTTTTATTGTTGCTTTTTTTTATATTTGTCTTACCATCTCCACGACGTGGCCTTATTTCGATTACTTCTTCATTTACTTTGCTTAATTTTACTTGTCACATCGTTATTACTTACTTTTATTCTTTCTTAAATCGCACTATTTCTTTTTTTCATAACATTCATGGAGTCTAATATTGAAATGGACTCACCTTTTTTATATTATCCTTTGCCTGAAACTGATTCAGATTTCGTTTATCAGTATCATCCTTCATATGAAAACAATTCAGTTAATGAAATTCAGCCAAGCAGTTTTGAGGGCAATAAAGAAAAAGAAAATTCTGATTATGAGGATTCTGACAACGAAGAGTTAAAATTAAAAGCAGGAATGGAATTTAAAACATAAAAAGAAGCTGAATCATATCTTGAGGACTACACCAAAAGTAAAGGGTTTTGCTTTCGTAAAAGGCATTGCGATACTGACCCAGTTGATAAAAGTATAATACGTCGTTGTACTTTTGAGTATTCATATGCATGCATACACGAAGCTGAAAAGTCAGTATTAGCAGAAAATAGAAGAGAAAGAGGTTCAGAAATGATAGGTTGTGCTTGGCATGTTAATATGTCGTTTCTAAAAAAGCATTTGGAATTCAAATAACTAGTGTTGTGAGTGCGCATAATCATCCTATGAATCCTCTTATTACAGAGATTGCACCAAGATTTCATCGTTTAACTGATGATATGTTAGAAAAAATTAAGTTCTGGACAATTAATGGGAGGTTAGGCATGTCAATACAATATAACTTACTTACTGCATCATTTCCTGGTAAAAAAGTCAATAAGAAAGATTTAAGTAATGCAATAGAGTGTTATAAAAAACAATTAAAACCTTAAAAAAATGATGTCTGTCAAACTTTAACTAATTTGTACTTAAAGAAGGATGAGGACCCATTATGGATAGTGAAGCCGAAATTTTATTTTGATAGAAGAAGGTTGACGGGATTGTTCTGGATGTCTCCGGATCAAACACGAGCCTATGAATGGTTTCAAGACGTCGTAATTATTGATACAACATCCCAAACCAATCAATTTGATATGATTTTATTGATAGTTACAGTCATTGATAACAACTTTAGAAGCTTGGTAGTGGCAGTGGCGCTTCTGGAAGATGAAACAGAGGTCACATTTTCTTGGGTTTTAAATGAATTAAGAAAGGCTTTTTCTGTTACTCCTGCCATAATATATTCAGATGCAGATCCTGCGTTAATATCAGCTGTGTGAAACAATTATCAAAAAACTCAACATTTCCACTGCATATTTCATATAGAATTAAATTAAAAAAAAAATTAAGAGAAAAGTTAGGCGACCAGTTCGAATCGTTTTAGTCTAAATTCTTTACAATGCGTAACACTCTTTGCCAAAAACAATTTGAAGATAGATGAGCTCAAATAATTGAGGAGTTTCCTGCTTGTAAACATTACTTTACACATGCATTGTATCTCTGCAGAAGTGGCTGGGCAAGTTATGCAGTCAACAGATGTTTCACTGCAGGAATTCAGAGCACCCAATGGGCCGAAAATTCTAACAAAGTAATTAAAGAAAAGTTCACAATTGGTTGATATTGTGGATAAAATTCAAGCAGTATTTGATAAACAGGCAAAAAAAACAATAGTTAGTGAATTCAAAAATAAAATACCAACAAGTGGATTGCCCAATATAATGGAAGAATACTTTTCTGAATTAAATAAGCTATTATGGAATTACCTTACTCCACAAATATTTCAAAAACAGTGTGACCAGATAACACAATTGCTTTGCTATGATGCATTCTTGGTCAATAATTGGTTTTTATTATTAGAGGTAATATATCAGTTAGTTAAATCTTAAAAAAAATTGCTTAATCTATTATTTATGTGCCTAGAGAGATAAGTTAATAAGTTAGAGTGAGTATTATATGCTTCATTCTTTTTTTTTTTTTTTTTAGACAACAGACGATTTCTGTGAATCAGAAGTAGGTAAAGAAGACAATTACGATCAACCGCAAGCACTATTTTCTTCATTAGTCAGTGATATATCGAACTATGTTCTGAAAGTATGAAAAATAGTTAGACATCGATCTCAGCAGACAATGTCTCAGTATGTTATTTTACTTGATGATGGTTCTCACCTATACACTTACTTGCCTTTGGCTTATAAACCGGGGCATTGTCTGCAGACACTTTTTCAGAATTATGTCCTACTCTCAAAATGCATACTTTTACATTACTCTCATTCTACAGCGATGATATAATGATAGAAAAAATGGCATTGAGCAACAAATTCATTACTCGACTCCAGCATACAAAGTTAGTAAAAACAAATTGAATCGGCTTCCTTCTTAACCATTACAATTTAAACACCTTGTAAATATCAGAAAGACAACTTACGTTGAGAAAAAACAAGGTCTTAAGCAAAAATAAGGTTTTGGGATAGGCTATACAAAAAAAGCACTAGATTACGCGATCCAGGCTAATAAAGTTAATAAATTCGTTAATTACTTAGAAAGGTTTATTGAAACAATGAAAGATGATTTAGACAAGCAACAGGAAAATTCTAACAACATCGAAAATCTAGCTATTGATGATCCAATATGTGTATGGCATAAAGGGCATCAACTCAACTGTTATAAATCAGGAGGTGAAAGGTCATCGAAGAAAAAAGCGCGAATTGTTCAAGAAAATATGGTCAATCAAACCTTAGATAATGATAATGAGTTGGATCAAAATGATAGTAACCCAAAACATGTTAGACACTACTATAAGTGTAAACAAGCAGGTCATTATGCTCCAACATGTCCAAATTTGTGATTATGTAAGGGTTATTGTACGCACATTGAAATAAATAAGACATTGCTTCACTTTATGTATAGTTCGTGCTATATCGATATGCTTTCTTAAGTGGTTTATTAACGTTAAAGTTTGGTTAAAGTATATAATACGTTGTCTATTCGTATGTACAGTACGTATCTGATATATTTATTGGGTTACAGGGCAAAATGTATAATAGCTTATTTGAGAAAATTTTGCTCTTCAAAATTTCATCTATACATAAAACTTGTTTTTCCAATAAATAAATAACTTACTTAATAATTATTTCAAATTGCTAAATAGAATGTCTTTGTATAACAAATTGTAGTCTATTTATTTTTTTTGACTATTTCTATATATAAGTATTTAATACTATATATATAATTATATATTACTTATATAAGTAAATACTATTGGTCGGCGGTGTCACGTGACTAGGTTATATCACCGGGGGCAAGTTAGCAACATTCATTATAAATTTACATAATCATAATATTCTCAAGCATCAATATCAAAAATTAAAAAAAAAAAAAAAAAAAATTAAAAAATTAAAAAAAAAGTATCTATTCAAAAGAAAATAACAGATGTTACTGATTATTGAAATTTTAGTGAAGTGTCAACTTTGGTAGTTTCTAGTACTCTATTCGCTGATTTCACCAACTATAATGATGAAATAGTTTAATTTGTTGACATTTGAGCAAAAGCCAAGAGATGATAAGTATTTGATATTGTTTCTTGGGCTTCACAATTTTTTCAATTTTCCATAAAAACTTTTAATGTGTAAAGTAAGATAATAATTTGTTGCTGTCGAAGATAATGATCTGCTTGAGTGATCTCTTTGATTACTTTATTAATCATAAAATTTTCAAAGGCAGGTATGAAAAATTCATCCAATGTCTTTTACTAAAATAAAATATTTAAATTTTAATATTTTCCACCAAGTAAAATTATTTCTAGACACTTTTTGACTTATTGATTGATGCACTTAAGAGCGACCAAAGTTATTCATTATCTGATGACCAAATTAATGGATTATATCCACCAAGTATTTCATTCGTTCAATTAATCTTTATAATAATCACAGTGCCAGGTTTGTCAGTTAGGGATAAAAAAAAACGAGTTAAACAGCTTTTAAGATTTTTAAAACATTGGTGCTGAAGCTAAAGTTTAGTTGAGCTAAACTGCCAATTCTAATTGGTTAGTTAAAATCACCAAGTTTCATAAAGATAACTTTTAAAAAAAAATAAACTTTCGTTTATTATCTTTATTTAAACCAAAGCTTAAGTATTAACATTATTCAATGAATATTTTATACTTTTTGGAAGCTTTTTGCTATTATATAAGTAATCTTTTAATCAAGCAACTAAAAGCGTTCTTAAGCAATTCACTCAATAGATCAGAAGTAAATTTTTAATTGGTATAAAAAAATAGTCACTTTATTTTTTATATTCGAAGATTTTAAAATAAATAATCAATACATTAATATAAATACAATAATCTTTCACTATTTAACAAACCAAAATGAATACTGTTTTTCATTTTTCACTTATTTAAATTTAAATCTTCTCAATAAAGAAGACTAAAACTGAAAGTTTAGGTAGATGGTTTCTATACTTGGAAGAGTCGACGTAACTAAAGTTGAAACTTTAACTATTGATTGTTAAGAAAATTTTTTCATTAGGTTTTTTTGGTAATAAGCGAATATTATGAAAAACAGAGTATATTCAAGCATTTAATTCTATAAAATATTGTCATCAATTGTGATACTCAAGCATCATCACAATTATTATCTAATCAATTTGATTTAGATGCTTGAGAACAGCCTAAATCCACAAAGTCCTTCTTATAGCAGTTACACATTTGCAAGTGTATTTGACCAAGTTTGTTAATTTTCAGAACTTTTGTAAAGTTCAAGCAAATTTCTTTTAATTGAGGTCTCCCACAAAGTATAATTGCTTATAGAAATCTTGTCTCTTCACGAAGCTACATAATGAGCCTTAATCACTAAAAAGTCAAAAAAAAATACAACTAGAAAAACTATAAATAAAACTCAAAAAAGATAAAGAAAAAACAATACTTATAAAGTTTCTTGTTAAGTTTTGTCTAGCCAAATCTTTAAATAAGTCTTGTTAAATTATTGCTGAATGTCAAGTCAAATTAAATTAATGCCTGACGCCAATTCTTTTTCTTTGTAAAACTAGGCTTTATAAAGAAAAAAAAAGGTAATTATATTAAAGTAAAAAAAAAAACCCCTACCAATACGTAAAAAAAGTAAAAAAACACAACGTTTAATAGTATAGTATATTGGCTTTCATGAATATTCTATATGAATATTCTATTCCTGATTTTCTGATTAGTTCAATTATAATCTACTAAACATAGCATCATGTGCTAAGCTCCTGATTGGTCGGCTATCTCATGATTAACCTGTACTTTTCCGAAATTTGAGAATGTCCCCATGCTCCAAAAAAGTAACTGCTAATCTACCAAAAACGTAACTTTTGCCTAATCTTCCCCTAGATCACCACCAACATTTTTACTAGCACATGATTATGTATAACATACTGAAAAATTCTTTTAAGTTTGTTTAGGTTAGGATTAGAGTTCAGTTTAGGGTTAGAGAGAGCTATAAGTAAAATTGCTCAAGGAAAACTTTTTGTTAAAGCACTAAAGATAGTTTCTTATACTACATTTTGAGTTATATGCGATTTTTGACAAAGTGAATGTTTGTTTTGATTTTTTCTGATCATATAATGTTACACCTAATCTTGAAATGTGACTGGTTTAAAATCACGTGCAGGTGAAAATTTTGAAAATTTGATGGCGATCTAGAGGTAGTTGGCACCACTAAGTCACTAATAGATTTCGCGATCTAGGGGTAGTTTATGCTCTTTGGCCTTGTCATGTGATTTATAACAAATATTTTGATTGGTTAATAAGGTTAGATATATGGGTCATAGACTAGAAAAACCCGCCTTTGACACTTTTTCATCAATTTTGAGATTTTTGATTCAAATTAAAGTGCCGGTTTCTATTTGTATATATTTTACTTTTTACCCTATATTGATATAATAAATTATTGAGATTTTTTACTTTGAAAAAAACAATTCTTTGAAAAGTTCATATTCTAAAAATAGATTGATGATCAAAGATCATCCAATCAAAAGTGACAAATTAGACTATCAATAAATTGCGATATAAAAAAAAAATTTCCACCAAATCTTGTTTCAGCTACAAAAACTAGAACAAATGCGGGTTTTAGTTTTGAATAATACTTTTATATAATACCATATATAAATAAGAATAATTTTTATTGCTGGTTTATTGAAAAAAACAAGGCAATGGTATTAATTTATATGTTATAATATATTAAAGTTATACTATATTTAACACGAACCTTAAAATTTTATTTAATAAAAAAAAGTTTTATTTATTCAAACTTTTAGATTTTTACCCAAATAAATAAGTTATTTATTTATTTAAGCCATGATAGCTTTGGACAAGTTATTTCATGAAATTTTATATCTATATATTTTCTTATTTCATAGTAAAAATACTCTTGATGTTCTTTTGATAAAGTTTTTAAAGAAATTTTATCAAAAACTTCATTAATGTTAAACCTATTTTTTAGAATATTAAATTTGCTATAGGTGCTATAGGCTTTAGTTTGACATAATACCTTTCTCGGATCTTTGAAAGTAAATAAAAAATGATTATACTTTAAAATCCTGAGTAGCTCTTTAAAATGTGGTTTTAAAAATTTAGAAAAGTTGTAATATGTCTATTCTTTACCATCATTATAATATAATCCATTATTGGCACCATTATTTGTTGACTTATTAACTACTTTTTAAACATCATTTACTGTATTGATGACTTTTTTTTGAAAAAGTGTTTTAATATTACCAAAATATCCATCACATATAAATTTCGTATGTCTAGTTACCATAAAATTTGCCTCAATTGTATCATACATGCCAACTAATGTAAGCCAACACCAAAAGTGTAGTAAGAGATTATTTTTATTTTGCACAGAGCAATTGTTACAAGTTACTTTTAAATGTTTTTTATGATTATAAAATCGTTGCAATCTATTATAAACAAGATTAATTGTTGTATTTGCTTCTTTACCTATTCCTTGGAGAAATTCATTCTCAGCAATTATGTAATTTAATTGTTGAGCTGGATTTTGTCCAGTATTACAAATACCAAAAATATAAGCCTGAAGTGCAGATTTAAAATATATTGTACTAATTTGTTGAAGGGAATAAGGCACAGGAACATTTTGTGCCTAATTGTAATATATATGCATTGTATTTGGTAATATTGTACTTGTTAAAATATTATTATGATAGTATTCTCGTTCAATTTCTGCTTTTTGTTTATGATCATCTAAACTTTTTTGAATTAATTCTTTTTTCTCATTATAATTTGTACTTCGAATTTTAGCCTTTAAAGTTTTACAAGTTTCACATAAATCTGTGCTAGGCGTCATAAATTTAATATATAGTAATAACTCTTTCCAAATGCAAACAAAGCTTTTATAACTAATTTTATCGAATGGTTTTTCAGGAAAAATATTAAGACATTTGATAAAATTATTATATACTTTAGTATAATCTTCATTAGTTGGCAAGTAAATTATTGACTGTGTATCATGTTGTAAATGTCAACCTGGAGAAGGATATCTATAAATATTAGCATAATTACTAATAAATGTAAAAACCAAATTTGATACAGTTTGATCAATTTTTGTATAGTTTTTTATATTAGGAATTTGCTTTGTATTGCTGTGTAATCGTTTAACTAACCCTTTTGTTTTTAAACTCTTATTACAAAGTTTAATATCACTGTTAAATTGATAATTAAATTTCTGCTTAGAGTTTTCATTTGTTTGATTATATTCAAATACCATTAGCTGACCCATTAAAACTAAATCTAGTTCTTTTTTATCTAAGCTACGAAATTGCATATGTCATTCAAAAAATCACTTAAATCCAACCTTTTCAAAATATTGAAAAGTATTTCTCATTTGGCATTCACAATTTTTGGATTGAAAGAATTTCCATAAATCTTGTGCAACTTCTTGTACTAACTTATTATCTTCATATTCACTTAAATCTAGTTGCTCTAAAGAAATATATGATATATTTTCTTTATTTTTGTTTAAAGACATAGTAAATTAATAAATAAACACATAATCAAATTATTTATTAATTTATATTAAATGATTGGATAACGAATAAACACGTGATATCAAATAATTGGATATCTTAAAATAGATCAAAAATTCAGGGGAAAAAAACAACAAAAATTTAGATAACACAAACTATAATCGCCATTTTCTCAAAATGGAAACCTCCTTCAAAGACGGGTTTTCCTAGTCCATGACCCATATGGGGGGTGTCAATAGAAACCAAGCAAATTGTTTCTAAATAAATTTTTTAAAAGTATCTAAACAACAAATAAAAAATTTTTTATCAAGTATGGTTTAACTGCTAACTGCATCAAAAAAACTAACTCTAAACGAACCTGGCTTTAACATTCCCCTACTTTTGCAGTATATACTTCTCCGAAATTCATTTTCCGACCTTTTACATCAGCAAATTATATAAACGTAATCTTACATAAGATATTACGGCCCGTAAAATTGCACAAGAATTACGGTCTGGACATAATATTGCGCAATTTATTACATAATATTACGCAATTTATTACGGAGTATTACGCAA